CAATGCAGACAGCACTGAATGAATAAACAAATGAGAAGTGAAAAATGAAATAAAACAATTGAAACCTCAACAGCAGTTTGATGTTTGGCATTGCGCACATCGACGTCGTTCACGAACAGAATTCGATCACCAATTCGAAGTTTCTTTGATCGAGCTGCAGGTGAATTCAGAGTAATCTTCGAGATGAACACTCCGGGTGCGTTGATTCCGAACGGATGAGATGAATGATCACTGCCCCCAACGATCGATAAACCCAGCGAAGAGTTCTCACGAATCAATTCCACTTCCTCAACTCATTCAATTAGTTAGTTCATTTCACTCGACAATTCTTTTTCCTCTCAAAATTTCGAATTTATTTCCTTTGAACGCACAAACTGCATAACAGTTCAATAAAATGGAAAAAAACTGAACTTAAATTAATGATGACGAAAATATTCCGAACAAATTTCCGCCGCAAGTGATTCTCAACTTGGAAAAGCTAACCTCAGTTTTGCCATCCCAAGACGGATCACCGAAACCCACTGTTGGTTGCGGTGAACGAGGCGATATCGGTGGTTGTGGACTCCTCATCACTGATTGCTCTCTGAAAACAGTATTAGTTATCCGTAAACTGAATCATCAACATGTACATAATACCATTCAACAACAAACATCCAACGGTAATCGCGTTCAACAAAACAGTGATAAATAATTTTTAATGTGAAAAGTAAATTCATTTTTTGTTCCTTATTTCAGCTCTCCTATACGCATTCAGAGTTTAAAAATATCAAAATTTGAAAAAAAAGCGATTTGCGGTGCATTAACTGAGGAGGAATAATTCGGAGTCAGAGTTTTGGTATAGAAAAGAGATAACTGCAGGCAATTTACAATGAAATGTTAACATATGAATCGTGAATTCATATGTATATAGAATGATGGAATAAGAACGAACGAAAGAGGTGATGGGATCTGATAAGGCGCAGATGTGGCTGATGGAGTGTTGGGACGATCTCGTTGAACAATGAGGTATATTTCATTCGTTGAAAAGCTTGTCAGTAACGACACTGCCTGATCATGTCTTGCACCACGCATATTTGTACCATTTATCTGCAAGTTCATTTCAAATATTTCTGTTTCTGACCCGAGTCAACTAACCATTGCAAAATGTTCAGTTCATAACCAATAGCATTCATAAAAGCACAAACACAGTGCATTAATTCTGTTCTTTTCAGGTTGTTAAATAGTAATAAAGACCATTCGTAAATGAATGAATATTCGGTGAGAAGAGACACAATAAGGGTTGGAGTCTCAACACATGAGTTCCGCTCCAAAATGAATAGCCAACGAATGTCGGTTATGATATCGTGCCCTTCAATTTTAGTAATCAATAAGAATAAAACGTACCGAAAGAACGCGATCACCAACACGTAATTTCCCGTCCCTGTCAGCTGCCCCTCCAGGCGTTATCGACGATATCACAATCGAATCTCCCGTCGATGAGCCTTTCCCACCTGCTAATGAAAAGCCTGGTGATCCATCCAGATCTCGCTTAATGGTTGTTGAGATCGTTTCCTTCGTCAACGAGGACGAATCAGCTCCTCTTGTCTCGGGCACGAATGACATTTCGAGACTTTGATTTGGAGATATCTTAAATCGCATCTCGTATTAAAATTTATTATCCTTCACTAATGAAACAAATAATAATNTAAAAAAAGAATATACTGTAGATGCAGGTTGTGCATTTGAAAGTTCACGGAGAATGGTTAGTTCGACGACATCTTTCGCATCTTGCATTGATGCCACTGCTACCTGCAACGTTCATGAATCAAAATATCCTCATCGAAGCATTAATCAAAATATCCTCATCGAAGCTTTATCCAATTATGAATTTTGAATTTAAAAAAAACAAGTGGAAATGGATTTGACGAATTAAGCGTGGTGACTGACAAAATGAAAAAGTATGGAATTCCCAGTGCATGTTATGCTAAACAATTATTAAAAACGATGCGTGCAAAAGGTAATTTGAAAAAGACGAATATTTTCAGTTTAAAATGATGACCTGATGTCGAACATTTATGACGTCCGTGTTATTGACACGAAGTAATTTGTCGCCGACCCTTAGACCGGCCGCTTGCGCCGGACCTCCTTTCGTTAGTTTCGAGACGAATAAACCCGAATCGTCATTCTAAAATTTCTTTTACAATCGTAACTGAACTATGACTTTGCAACGGCGAACACTGCACAACAAAACTGCTTTTGAATGAAACTAATAAATGCGCGCAGTTCAATATCATCGCATATCTACCGCTTTCTTCACCCTTAGATCCAACGACCCTTTTAAATTGAAAAAAGTTGCTCGCCGACGACGATGCTTGCGCAGTCATATTCAATCGAGTGCGCGCAACCATCGTCGTCATCCTCGCTTGTCTAATAAACGAAAGCGCTAAGATGACAAACTGCAGAGAGAATATTATACTTTATAAGGAGTTGATTCGAGACCGCCAGCAATCGAAAGACCGAGGCCACCATTTTGATCTCTTCGGATGTCAACTTTCAATGTTTCCACTGCAGACGGCGTTGGTGCTGAATGATAGGGTGACGTCTGCCGATCACCAATTCGTTCCAATATTCGTTCAACCTTAACAATAAGTCGAGTTGATGATCAGTTCAATTTGACGGACAATTCAAATCACAGCACAAAAGCGATACCACAATACGGCTCTAGTAACGACTGCATCAATCATTTACAACTGAATTTCACTATAAACTAAATTTCTCATTGCTTGATTATGGCATAAAATTCGACTGTAATGTAAATCAACCTGAAAGGAGTGGCAGGCATTTTACGTAGTGCGATCTAGAAACAAATTTCTCAGAGCAGATGTGTGATGAACGCATTTTGTTCATAGCAGCACATCGTTTCGATGCAGTAATCACTAGTTCTTTTCAAATTATGAAAGTCGAATATAACAACGGAAACAAAACTTTGATACCATCCATTTTAAAATTTTGAAACGATTTTGTATACATGCAGCGAAATTGAAATCTCCACGACTTCAAAAATAAAATAGAACTCAAATAATATAGAACAGCAGCGACAGAAAAGAACTGACAATTTTCATTCGCATCAAACTAATTTCTCGGCGATTTGTCATTTACAACTGATTTTTTTCCGAATCATTTTGATAATCTTTAATAAAATTGACAGTAAGATCACAACAGTGAGCAATGTTCCATGAATGCAGAACCAAGAACGCATTCAACCAAGAACGAGATCTCTGCACTGATGATTTGTGCTTGTGATGAAAAAGTGATATGAAAACCTCATCTTTGCTGCAGTCAATTCTGAATAAATACAACGTTTTGCTGATGTGAAAGTATAAAGCTAATTCAAGTTTTATTCCAAATGAGCCGCAAACTGAAGAAAGGAAATAAACGACGATACATTAACGATAATTACGTAGGAAATGTCTATGAACAGATTGGCTGCCTGCGATCACAGTTACCAATTACCGTACCAACTGAATTCGAAGGAATATTTGTTCCTGCATACAATAGCCGTTATATCCTATTGAATGCATCGCTTTTCGAGAATGGAAAAGAATCCAAACAACTGGATCTTGTGAGGGGAGTGGAACTCGTTCAAAAGAACGGTACAGTAACTGGTACAATACAGCAGCATTGCACGGTGAGCGCACAGGGCATGCTATGAGATTGGTAACGATCCCTTCATGCATTACAAACATCCACTCAATGAAACTGCTCATTTCCTACTACTTTATTCTATTTAATCTGAACAAAACAGACTTCACTGAAAGGATAACAATGAATAAATTCTTCAGCTAACTATAACATCACAATATGTACATCGTCGACAACATTATCACAGAATCAATTACTCATCCTATTGTTATTGCTTGAAACGTCTCATAAAACATATTTCAAATAGCTGAAAATAACCTAACCTTAACAGACTGACTCTAACAGAAACAGTGATTGGCATTGTTCGAAGTCAAAAACAAAATTGACGACTTGCCCTGAGCGAGCATCAAGCAAGACCTCATCAACTACCACAAATGAGCAATCATTCGCACCATCACAATATCACGAACAATGAACAATAACAACACAAGTGCTGGTAATATGAGGTTTGCTGTTTGAATTGAATCAAGAAGAGATTATCTCACCCTGCGTTGTGCAGTTAAAGGATCAATATCAGATAGACGAGTGCCCTTTGAATAATGTGGAGTATTAATACGTTTTAATTTTGTACCCTCGTTTGATATCACATCCTCTTGGAATGCGACACAACGCTCATCCTATAAGTGTTCTTGTTTTGTCAATTCCATTTGTGCTATGAACACAAACTTTTGAGGACGGCAACGGGTAACTTGTTGCAATCCAGCAAAAAGACATCAGGAAATCATAACACTTACGAATGAATCGATTCCACGTTTTTCGAAAATATTATTCCTGTCTCAATGTTTCAGCTCTATCTAATACCTAAGCATTCTTCAAAATTTTTAGGAAGGATCAGGGATTGCGATTGCATGAAACTATATATAT